CTTGCATAATATATAACTTTCCAAAATATATTGAAATAATATAATAAAAACATCGTCGTTTATGATGAAGTAAATCACACTGTGTATTTTACTCTGACAAAATTAAAACATTTTATGGCGCATAATGCTTTTATATATTATTATTATTATTATTATAACATACTTATAATGTTATAAGTATCGTACGAATTACACCTTATTCCATGTTAACTCCGTGTACTGCATACTGTTTCACATTGTAAAATGATAATGATCATTATATGTTTTGTAATAAGTTATAACCCAGACACCATTACGTTTATGTACATTGACGAGTTGACTGTAATGACAAGAGCAGTCAATTAGCCGGCGTTCCGAGTAGGCAATTTCGGTACAGCTGCGCGTGTATGTATCACCAAGCGTATCTCTATAAATAATAATAATAACGAGACGGCACCCTATTGTAATCCTATATTATTACTATTATTATTATTATTGTAGATAGTATTATATTTGTATAAAATCTAGACCACATGGTAATTACATTTAAAACTTAGGCAGGGGTTCGATTACACATTGATCTACCTATACATGTATATTGTATATATTATATAATATGAATTAAGGAAATTTACTCAACCCTCAGACGTTTACAAATATAATGTACGACTCAAACCATCCATTTGCATCGAACATAAAATATTATCAAACAATTTAATTAAACATTTATTTCGTGTAGCTATAATTAACACTATATATATATATATATATATAATATTATTATCGCAATAAAAATAAAAATTATTATTTTATACTCATGCAGGGTGATTAAACAAGCCTGCTCACCGCCTTATTACTTTATTGTAATAATGAAATTATTCAAATTCAGATTTTTAGAGTTTTTAAGAACCCTATTTTCTAATATTTAAATTTATTATACCATTTAAAAAGTATCCTGTGGTGATACAAACTTTATTTTGAATTGAGAACCAACCTTTTTAATGTGAATTATCAAGCAGGAAGTCGCGGTTTTTCATTTTTATTATACCTTTGTAAGTTAGTGTCAGTGTTCTGCATTATTAATAGATAAATAATTTAGTTAAAATATTTATATTTTTATCTTATTTAAACAAATAAATTGTCAAGATAATTTTTGGTGACGCAATTTTCAATTTTCTTATTATGTTTGTTTAAGTTTTTTTTATGTATAGGACATGTCATTTTTCTAGACTACTACTATTAGATTTTGTTTTCAAGTTCTTTCAATAACCTTTTATACATTTATTACATTTATTTTATTCAAGATATTTTTTTCTTTATTCTTAATGCTCTGTAAACACAGACTATAAACGTATTAACTAGTATAAAAATTGAAACTCGTTTAAATATTTATATTAATAGCAAAAATACTATAGTAAATATAAACGTATTTTTTTAAATCATCTAATTTTTATCCAAGTGAACATTTCTTAATTTTTAAATTGACATAGAAATAAATAGTTATATTATTTATTTTACAATTGAAAAAAAAAATAATAAATAAGAAAAAAAACCAGTAAGAAAACACAAACACATATCTACGAAACTGTAAGATACAAAAGAATAACAGTAATCTAATGTTAATAAAATACACACTTATAAATAAAACTTTGTTTTCCAAATGTGTTATTGTTGTTACTAACTTTTTCTCAGTCCTTTAGTTTCTGGATACGATGGCATGAAAAGGTCTTTTTTACACATGTAAACATGATTATATAATAATATATAATAACCAAAATTATCAACTTAAGTAAAAAAAAAAAGACGTTTAAATTTACCATAAATTGAATTATTAATTATACAAAGAAATAGTTGTGGTCTTACTATAAAATAAATAACTAGTATAAAAATACGAATAATTACGTTTTACGTAATCCAATAAATTATGCATTCGAAAATATTAGATTAATTCGTTAAAAAAATATTTTTTATAGTTATTGGTATCATATTATCATAATTCCAATTCAATTGAAATTCCATATTAACGAAACTAATTTCACATCACAGTTAGAACAAAAAAAAAAAAAAAATGTCATTTTATTTTGTTTGGAGTGATTATAAAATTTCTCATGTACATAAAATATACAATTTTTAATTGAACAAAAATCACAAGTACATTTACTCACAAATTTAAAACCGTGGGCATTATGTTATAATTTCATAATAAATACCGTTAGTACCTATTTGTAATTTTTAATTATTATACAGAATGCAATTATTATTGTTTGTAGTGGATTTATGCTTAAACTCCATATTTTATTATTATTTATTTTTACCTCCATAATGTTCTGTATTATCTGCGTATTTAAATAAAACATTTATTTGTATACTTTACCCTTTCCTTGATATATAATTGAATATCATAATTATTTTATTTTTTCAAATATCAATTCTTTCCTGCAATATTATTTTATAAAAGACAAAAGAAACTTAACATACATCTCATTAAAATATTTTTGGGGGGGACAATATTGTTATACTCAACGTACTAAGTAGTAACTAGATAAAATTCAACTATCGTAGTTTTATTTGATATCAAGTATGAAGACTTATAAATTATAATATAAAAATATACTATATTCTTCATATAGTCTATTTATCAAGAAACATTTGCTATTACATATTTCGTTTGATCAATTGATTCAGGTATTATAAGCTATTTAACGAATTATAATAATTATTTTATGATTTGATAGTTCACAAAATTGCAAAAATATATAAATTATACCAGATAATTATTAATTTACGTATTATTTTATACCAAGACGATATTCTACATTAAACATACACTTATGTTTCAAATTAGTATTGCATAAACGATGCCTTTTAAACCAATATTTAAGTATATTTCGTCGGTATGAAAAACTCCCGATGAAAAATCGATTGTTCCAAGTGATCACATAGCTGATGAATTTTTATGATTCACCATCCCACTAAATTATTGATTTATTCTATTCATTAGAATGTCCGATACAGTTTTAAGTTTTTTAATTCTAAAGTCTACATAATAGCATAGTTTTTATTTTACAAAACCTTCGAACAAATGCAAAGATAGCCGACCATTACTGCAAATTATCAAAATTTTCTTTAAAATAATGGATGGTGAAAAATGTATTGAAATTGGGATACATATTATCATATATCTTGCTTATGTAAGGAAAACAAAAAATGGACAATTTAAAGGAAATAGTCTTGTTAAAAAAGATGACACGAAATAAAATTTAAGCGATTTAGAATTTGACTTGAAATTTTTAGGAATTTCAAACATTTATTATCGACGGACCAGTGATTTTATAATTTTATAAGAAGTTTTACTGTAAAAGTGGATATTTTGTGTGTAAACTGCTCAGGTGTGTTGAGAAAATAGGTTAAACGAAAATCTAATTTAATCCGAATTGACGCAAAACGACTTCATTTGAAAATCCAAATAATATACAATATTTTTTCTCCTACACGTACTGTATTGCTATGAATTTACAAGAAAGCAAATTATTATTTTTTAATTTTATTATATAACAATAAAAATAATTTAGAAAATTAAATTTTACCACTCTTAGTTATATATCACTTGTACGTTTGTAAACACGATTTAACCAATTTGAGCTTGTAAAACTCATGTTCAAAAATGAATTTATATAATATTATTATACTTTTTAAAAAATGCAAATTTTTGTTTCTATATAAAACACTACATTAATATTCGTCAGTCATAATGAAAAATCGACAATATTTTTATTGAAAGAAAACATTTTAAACTAAATTTTTTAAGGTTAAACAAACAATAAAACAAAAATAAAATAAACAAAACATATTTATATAATATATAAATAAAAAACCACAAACAGTTAAATGTTTTATTTCCGAACCAACAAAATGAGAATAAATTATAATTTATTATAATATATTGTTCGTTTTGAATAGTTTGCAGAAAAAAAAATAAAATAACAATAATAACGTTTTCTTTTTCTATACTTCAAATTTATGACCAAAAGTGTTTCATAACAAAAGGATGATTTATACAGTAGAAGTTTGTAAAAAAAATAGTTACATCTGATAATGTATCGTTAAATAGGCTGAAACAAACGATTATCGCTTTAATATTGTGCTATATTACATGTCCGATAAATGTCATCATATGACTCCATAATCCTACGTATTTTAATCTCTTGTACTTGGTATATGCCTCATATTGTATTTGTTCTGTGCAATATGATAGTATGTATACAAACTATGCATACTATAGGCGTATAATACAATGCAAATTTAACGGATGTCCCCAATTTTTACGATAAACTCCTATTTTACCAGCATCCTACTTCTGTTATTGTTTTAATGTAAATTATACAATTAAACATTCAAAGTATTTGCACTAGTTGTCTCTACAAAATTTGATTCGGATCTCTGAGGTTTTTTAGGAATATGAACACAACAATATATTTTTTTCAGCCTAATTTCCAAATACATGAATAAATTTTTTAAGCTGTAAGAAACCATAAGAAATTATTATGGCTTAATATACGACATGTACTTATATAATACTAACAAAATCACCTGAATTCGCCAAGAAATAAGCGAAAAAATCTAAAATACACTCCTTTTGTAAATTTTGGTTTGAATGTATCTCTGTTCGTGGGTAAATTGGTAACAGTGTTACTTGATGTATATAGACAAGTTCGATAGAAACGGGAAGTTTTCCAGCGCTCTTCATTGATAGTAAACAGAATGCGTGTAATTATTGTCGCCGTGCTCCGGAACACGTGCCACGTATCAGAAATAAGACGTAAATATATACACCACCAAGTTATAATCTCATGTCATTCGGGAAACATGCTATGATTCTATTTAAATAGAAAATTAATTTATATCAGAGTACCTACATTGACGCAAAACAAGAAAATTAAATAACTATCAATAAAATAAATAATTTTTTAATTATTAATTTATTTTTCGTTTTTTATAATTAATGTATTATTTTTTAGTTCAAAAAAACACTTGAAATTACCAATGAATTCGCACGAACCATACGATTTAAGAATAACATCAATTGTGTACGTACAATATATATTATATTATTTAACAAATATTTAAAATCATGCATGCAGTTAAAGCTCGATAATTCAAATTTTTGAGCAGTTTGAAATTCAAATTTTGAGTAAACTAATATTTCCTATAAAATACTTATATTGTAAATAATATAACAATAATTATTTAATGTTTCTAATTTTGTTAAAAATTCCAAATGTTATTTTTATTCAATTTCTAGTCACCGTGACACAACTAAATGTATAATTTTTTTTTCAAAATATTATAATGTTAGTTCTTATTTCGTCATAATATATTTTTTAGTTGTTTTAAAATCATTTACTATAAATAATTAAATATCATAAAACATAAAATATTGTGTTATGAAATCATATATTCTTTTTAACTAAAAAAAATAAAATAATTATTTAATTATCTCAATTAATACTATTTTTTATACGTATTTATACAGAATACAGATATTATATATCAATTGTAATTCAATTCTTTTGTATTTTTACTAATACAATACATAATGTTTTGAATGATTGATAATATATTCAACCTCTCAGCTTTTAAATTAATCTGTTTTTTTTTTATATTCTAAACTTTCTTTAAAATGACAGCTACTTAAATTAAATAGTCCATATTTTACGACACTTAAATATATTATTCTTAAATATGCATATGTTATTTCACTAATGTAGCATTGAATCAAATAACTAATATTATATTATTATGAAATGTATATAGACCCAAAACTGGAGATGTGCATTTTGAATTTTATTCACGTAAATCGGACCAGAAAATTGTACAAGACTTATTAAACCATATGATAGCAAATGGTTCTCTCGGATCTGGGACTGTGCCACTGGTAAAAACAGCGCTATCCTTTCAACAAGAACCATCGTTATGGTTAAATGTAATGTAGACAATTATAATTTATTTTTTAATTGATTTATGAGTTGTACTCTCATTGAATATTGTAGAAAATGGACGTGAATAAAAATCGAGATTCCATACCCGAAGGAGAACCGTTTATTATATCATGCATAGCTCAAGGACCATCAGATATGCAGTTCAAATGGTTTAAAGATGGAATCCCAATTAATACGTCAATATCAACTAGGTATATTTTATAATTGAATTTTAAATTTATTTTTTTTTTATCATTATGTGTGATTTAAGAACATGTAATTATATAAAACCTGTAGGTTTAAATTAATAATAAGAACATTAATTTAAAATAGTCCTATAGCTTATATTGACTATAATATTATAATTAATAACGATAAATATATATCAAGATAACCCAAGATACCTCAAGAAAATTAATAAACATATTTCGTTTCATAAATATATAATATTTTTCGGTTAAAAATGTCTTTATAAAATAACCAAAATAATTAATTGTAAAATAATTTTATTTTTATGTAGTATTACTACATCTATACACAAAAAGTTTAGTAGATTAGTTAAGTAGTTCTGTGTGTAAAAAAAAAAAAATTATCATGTAGGTAAACTTTAAATTACATTTTTATTTTACAGAACTTTTTGTCGTTTCGTTACTCGGGAATGCACTTCAAATTATTTTAATATTATACACACTAAACAATAATAGTCAATCATACATATAACTTTTATTTAATCCAAAAAAGTAGTATTTGTAGACTTACGATATTAGGATAGTTAATAACTAAAAGAAATCAGTTTTAGTGCATTTGCTTTTAAAATTTCAAGTTAGCAAAATGATAAAAAAAAATTTAATTTAGTTTCATAAAAATATAATTATTTGTACCTTAATCTACAAATTATAAATCATTAAGAAAAACAAAAAAACTAGAACTTATTTTACAGAGTGAAAAAATTTAAATTAATTTTATACCACTAGCAGTCAACTTTACCAAGTACAACTTTGAACAAATACATATTTTCTTATTTGTTAGAAACATTTGGACAAAAATAAAAAAGGTGGACAAACCCGATTATAAATCTTCAATGTTAGTGATCGAACACGCTGACATATTGGACTCTGGGAAATTTACATGCCAAGTGTCTGATCATTCTCACCAACAATGTCAATCAGTGGCGTTAACCGTGATCCCTCTACCCGAAGTTATAATGAAACCGTTCATAACAGTTAGACCGGTAATTTAACACACACCGTCATATTCAGTTTAATAAATCAAATTATTTATACCTACTGGTTGTTACTTACAGGGTGACAACGTGACGATTATGTGTTTCTTAAAAAATGAATTCACAAAGTTTGGAAGTACGTGGTTAGACAGTGATATGCATTTGGTGAAAATCGACAAGAACGTATACTGGGAAGATTTACACCGTGGAGGTAGCGTGCTATACGTGAAGAATATAACGGTAAGATTATAATATGAATTATGAATATGAATATTCACATTTTTAAGTACCTAGCTAGTCTTGGGGTTTTCTATCCAAATCATTCTGTTCTGTTCATATCTATAGTAAACTTGTGCTTTAAAGCGTTTATTAAAAACAATTGTAAAGTTCCTTATAGACATTCCATTTATATATATATATATATATATATATATATATATTATACAACGCAGTATTAATATATTCCCACAACAATGGGTTTAAAATCTAGATTTATCTCTAATGTATAATAAATATTTAAAAAAAAACGACTATGAGGTATTTATTCTACGATTTTCTAATGTCGCGTACGTGTGCGCATTTAACAGTCGTCAGCCGAGTATAGATGCGAAGCTTCTAACCGGGCAGGCAGGCGTGATGCCACTGTGTACGTAGATGTCCTCAACACGAACGTGATGGCACATTGTGCTGCGGATGGCGTGTGGCCGATGACCGGTGCTGGGAAATCGGCGTCCTCGGAATGTCCGAAAAATAGGTCAACCAACTACGCATCGCGTACGTGCGTGCTGACAGCCGCCAATCGAACCGAGTGGCAAAAGGCCGACTATTCAGGGTGCGCGCCAGATGACCTGAACAAAATTACCATGAACGTAAGTATCATTGTATATAGCCCGTTCATAAGATATATTATTAAACAGTCTAATCGTTCTATCGCGAACCAGTCAATATCTTAGAAGGTACAAGAAGTTTTTTGTTTTTAGTTTTGTGATAAAAATTCACTCATTTTTGTAGATAAATGTAAAAACAGTAAATTCAAAAGGTTAATATTTCTTAAACTTGATAATGGCTCACCAAATCTACAATGAACAAGTACCAAAATATGATAAATTGTATAAATGCCCGTGTCTCATATCATATGTGTAATAAATAATAAATAGCAACACACTAATATTATATAAAATACACGTAAGCACAGAATACATGAGTTCTGTGCAAAATTTATAATATTAACATAACCTTCAATATCATAATAATGATAATATTGATATATGTGTTATAATGTTTCTTAGGAATTATTATTATATAATAAATGTTTTTGTGGCGATAATAGATCGTAGTGTTTGAATATGTATACAGGCGAAAACTTAAGCCCAGTGTTAAGTTGATAAGTATAATTTATTATATGTATTTACAAGAACAGACCTGGCCTTTAGTAAATACCATTATAATATAACAATTTATTACTATCACTGTCAAATCGAAACTGAGCTACAAAGTGTTTTGTCATGTTGTCAACGAGTACGATTCTTTTGTTACCTAGAATCTGTATGCAACGACTGAGAATATTAATACATGATATTTATGTTTTGTAAGAAGATATCATCAAATGTATTCCTAACCTAATCTAATGCGTATTATCTAATGTATTATTGTAATCTTTGGATAGTAGAGTACCTAATCTGCCAACTCATAACGCTGTGTACCCTAGCCATTTCATTATTGATATTCATGAGAGAGAAAAACTCATCATTCTGAGCTCATAGACTAAAAAGTAAAAATGGCTCTTGCTACAATGTATATAGTATGCATACAGAATATGTAGATATTTCACGCAATTTATTGTTTTATTACGTATGTTAGAATATCTAATTAGAATAGGTTTTTTTTTATTATAACTTTTTATTCAAAATCAAATATCATTTATCGCGTTCTTTTCGAAAGCACGCACTATCTATTTATCTGATTTCTGAATAATTAGTCACCTACATATTTAATCATAAGATAAAGTTGACTTGTATCTTTTATGTGGATTTACATATAAATATAGCTTTATGTAAATGGATACAACGACCGCTCAGCAAAGACCAAGTTCCTGGGATTTTCGGTTTAATTAAAAAACTATTCAATAAATGAACACTATACGCTTTTACACTTTTACATAAACTCTGTTTTTATAATAAAACTGACAAAAACAAAAATATATAAACACAAACACAAACAAATAAATAAAAACGTGCACCAGACGCGTGCGATACCCACGACGCCGCCACTGACGTTGCATGTCACATTTCTGGAAAACCTTTCAACGACACACTTTCTGTTTCCTTTTTATTGTTAAATCATAACACATAAACACTATGTTGTTCACACCGTTAACACTATATTAAGATATATACTATATATACACCTACGATACACAGCACCGTTATGTACTATTTAAAATGTTTACATCAGTTATAATAGTTATGCGAATTTCAAACGGATTCATACACAATTAATTTTCAGTTTCGTAAAAAAACGTTGGGTTATGATAAGATCAACGTGACGGCTGCGAAAACATTGAGTTCTCTGTACAGTGAACTTCACACCATCGCCAAATGGTACCCGGGCGAGGGTGAACCTATCATTGATTTCCTTGTGTCCGTTACGTCGTACCTACAAAAATCGTACGATTTGGCAGACCTAAACCAAACGTCTGATAGTTTTGACAACATACTCAGTATGCTGTTGGAAAACGGTTCGGTGGTTAATGAAAAGGTAAGTATTTATGTATTTTATTTCTTTGATCTCTGTGGATCTTAATACTGAACATAGTATTATATAATTAATTTTAGGGATTTTTCAAACATGAATAAAAATGAATAGCATTTAATTAAGAGATTTTTCCCTGACCATTTTAATTGCCATTCTAACCAGATAAATTTAAATTATGTTATGATTTCGACTTGTAATGCCTACCTAAGTTACCGCTAGCAACTGTAATCACAATACAATTACGTTGCCTGACCAATTTCGCATTATTGTTTCTTAATTGCCCATAGGAACCGATTAAGAAAATAGTTGCATTACCATAGCAGCTGATAAAATATCAGATTCACAATCTAGACACAATTTTTTTTTCATGATCAGATTTTTTGTGAGGTTATCACTAGTAACTGATGAATCAATGGTGACGGTTAAAAAAATTACGTGGGGCCCCATAGCAACCTTGTAGATCCATTTTTTTTTTTTTTTTTTAATCATAATTTTAAAAACATAATAATTTATGATTCAACGTTTTTTCTTAAATCGAACAAACTATTGAGTAACAGCAACGTTTTTTTTTTTTTTTACAAATAACATATATATTTGGAATTCATATTTAATATATAAATATTTTTTTTTTTTATCTTACAGAAAATCTTTCAACTTCTGGATATGATCGAAACGTGGACGCTATTGAAAGCGTTTTACTTGTTCACCAACATAGAAACTAAACAATATACCAACCAGATCGAAAATATATATGTGGCGTCAGCCTCAGAAATAGTAAAAAATGATAGTAAAAATATAACACACAGGTTTTACGACAAGTACATAAGACTAATTTTTATAACTATGTTTTTTTTTTTTTTAATCACTTATTACAGCCTCTTTATTTCAAACACCTTTTTTAGGCAAATCATTAGGTCCTCACAACAACCAAAAGTAATCGTTTCCATGTGTGATATTCAAATTGACAAATGGATTAACAAATCTTTCAATGTAGGAGTCATAACATTTAAAAATCTATCGGAGATTTTTCCAAAAAAATATTATATTAGTAAGAGGTAAACAAAAATGAGATCATTTATTACGATATTGTTTAATAACTATATATATTATATATATTATATATCATTTTTATATAGAGCTAAAAGAATTAGGATATTTTTAAATATTGTGTGCAGTTATTAATAGTGACTTAAATCGTAGTCAACGAGATTAAAAAAAATACATTTCCTTTTGAAGTTTTCATTTTATTTTCAAATGTATTAAATTATGATGGCATACTTTATCTAATTTATTAGTTTTCTATTTATATACTCGTATTTAAATATTTTTTATTTATTATTATTATTATTATTCATTATTTTTTTTTTTTTTAACTAAACTCAGAGAATTGCGTTTTTACTTATAATTGTATATTGTTATGATATTTATATATAAAAAAAAAAAAAAATCTGAAACAAAATCTATATTGACATTAACTGTTTATGTATTCTTGACTCTTATTTATATTTAATAATACTTTAATTTTGTACGCATCATAAGTCGCATTCGATGATTAGCATTAGTAATATATATTAAATAAAACCGTTTCTATTTATTGAATTTGAAATGTTTGAATAAAGAAAAATAATAAGTTAACGAATAGTGTCAAAGCTATGGTTTGTCGAAAAAATCTTAAATTCACGGCAACCAGCTAGGATGTTTTAAAATTTCCATTCTATGGTGATATTTAATATATGAAATATAGGGTTTTTTGGATGATCTAGACTTTATTTATCCAATTGCACGATAGTTGACCTGTAAAAGTGGTTAATAAAAAGTATAACGGGTATGGAAAAAATAATTGCTTTGAATAATTTTAACTTTTAAGTATATCATGATACCACTTGCAAAATTTAAATCGGTTATAAAATGTCAATTTAATACTGATATTTGTTGATTTTTAGCAAAGACGGCGAGATCGAGTACAACGTGATGACGCCACTGGTGTCGGTCACTGTGGCGCAGGATGGACAACGGATCCACAAACACTGGCCGACCATTGTGACGGAGTTGGAGTTCAACCTTACGTTGCCGTGGGTAGTAAACGGAACATGGAATGTAACATGTGTAACCACGACCAAGCTCACCGATCATCAGTGGGACCTGTCGTCCTGTCGGGTAGTGAACGCCTGGTTACCATCGACCAACGTTACCCGTTGCCACTGCCCATCAGCCGGTTTGTTCACAGTACTCGCAAGAGTGGTGCCCCTGGTCAGTATATGATTAACATAATAATACAAATACACGGCACATGTAGTTGGATAAATAAATATAAAAAATTAATACTTAAGCATAGGAAATGTAACCGATGTCGACAACACACTGTCTTCAATTCCAATCAGTCGATTGGTACCCTGAACAATTAAGTCTAATATGTGAAATTGAAAAAGTGCAACGACGTTTTCTTCTCTTTGTTATACAAACAATCAATTTTGACGGTCATCTGATTTCTGAAACAACACGAATTCATTTAAATAAAAACGCAATTTTATTGATATACTTTCTGTGTATATCATTTTTTTGAATAGCCACATAGACAATCCAAATTTATTTCAAAATTTTTTATTATCTTTGCATATAAACACAAGTCAATACTCATAGTTATCGTTATTTTTACATCGAACCACAAATAAAATCATTGTTTTGTTTAGTTCTAAATTATCGAATCATTAATTATTGTTAAGATTCAAATAATTTTGATTTATTTTTAGATAATAATTAATAAGTAAAAATTAAAACATTGTTCTCCTATGATATACATAGTATTAAATAACTAACTTTTATCTCATATTATGTACATAATTCGATATAAATTACACTATTGTAATCATGCTTCTCTGTGGGCGTAAATTATTTAATAAATAAAATAAATTTATAATACCATTAGAAAATATAAACTACAGCACCAGTCATTGGATTTAATATAAAATTGCCGCAAACACTTAAGTCGTAAAACAGCACTAATGCTGGGCTAGACAGGGTTCGCCTACCGAATAGTTATCGAGTCGTTAGTTATATGGAATACAAATAGAGGTTTATTACAGATGAGTATCAACCTATATAATATATTTGTATGAAAATTATTTAATTGTATATTATTTTTATTTTTATTTTTTTGGTTTTTTGAAATTACTTATTAAGTTATAACCATCCTGTGATATTAACATTAACTCAAATATCTGTAATTATATTTATAAATGTAATGCCTATTATATAGAATGTCACTTACTAATCAAATAAAATTTATATTTTTTTAAAATCCATAGATTTAATGCATTAAATACAAATACACCCTGTTGAGTGAAAGCATATAAAATAATAAACAAATATTTATGAAAAGCTATATATGGATTTCTGCAAAATCCACTAAGATTCTTCTATCTCATACTATTATTATGGAAAACCATTTACTGACAAATTTAATAATGCTGTTAAAAAAAAAAAAAAAAAAATTAAAATTCTTTTACCATACATACTTCAATGCCGCTATTGTTACACTTAACATTAAACGAAAACTTAAAAAAAAAATACATTAATGAAAAAAAAATTTTTCTTTTCTTTTATTCAATTAAATTCGCGGTAACATTTGTGGTATTAACTTTTAAAAACTCGTCATCTCAATGATTATTGAAATTCCACTGAAATGAAAAAAATGAAAAAACACAAGTTATATACTTTTATACACGTTCTTAGAATATATTATATAGATATTAAGCTTTAGAGTACACACACATATAAATGTATATATATATATATAAGGGCCATCAACTTTGGGCCAACTCTTAGAAAAGCTTTAATAATGTTAGTTACATACATTCATATTTTATGCGGGATCATAATATTACACTGTAGAATAAACAATAATACATCTCATGATTATTAGTTACTATTAACATTTATTCGTTGTCACTCATCAAAACTGTTATTTTAAAGTTATAGCTATTAACTTTGGTTTCCACAATAATTCAATACAAAACTAAAAATACTGTTTTTATTTTTTCATATTTATCAAGTTTTTTTTTTAATTGTATATTTACAAGTATAACAACATAGATAAAACTGAATTAAAACAAGACCTAAAAGACAATTCCATTTTAAATGAGATGTATGGTATTTATACTATTAAACGTTTACATTACCTATAATATAAAGATAAATACTTAAAAAATAACTCAGGAATTGTTTGATATTTTGCTATTTAAACTATTTTGCTTTATGAAAATAAAAATACTATATAGTCATAAATTACGAAATGTTTGATTTGGTAAAAAAAAAAAAACAACATATAAACAGAAACAAATATTATTCTGTGGCTTAGCGTGACGCGTTGGCTGCTACCAATCGCGGAATGCGACTGAAAGTAAGTAACGGCCACAGCTACTAGCTCCCGGATGGGTGACCACTCGGGATCATAATGGTTAAAAACCTTGCCACACATACACGTGTTTGCTATCAACCGTAACAACCGTAAAAATACAACCTACCATACCAACCTTATCCCTTACCGTATTTCATAACCCCTACAAACAACTAATGGTCCTAGTTGCCGGGCTTAAGTTCAATAAAAAAAAAAAAAAAAAAAACATTATTCTTAAAATAATATTAGAAATATTATAATAATAAATATTTTTTTATTTTTAAAATGAACAAATACATATCTTACATTTTTAATATGAAGAAATATTACATCAAATGAGCGAGTATAGAAAATTATCAACAATAATTTCTCAATAAATCCATGATTAATGCTACACATAATCAAAAATTATGTGCATAACCTAAATAATATTAAATATAACTTACATTACACTATACCTTTAGTTCTGTCAAAGTAAACGTCCTTGTATTCCACATTTGATTCAAAATGGTTTAAAATGTAATTGAATAATGTTTGCATTTTTATTTTATTTGTTTTCATACTTAGGACGAAGGAGGTCAAAGTATTTCAAAACAAGATGTGGTTATTGTGTTTGGGTGTGCTTGTTGCCTGGTGCAATCGACAATGTCTCTGATGCTGCTGGTCACTCAATGGGTTAAGCACCCGACGTGCATTGTGTACTTAAAGATACAGCTGTGTTTCGCAATTATAATCCAGATGTGCATGTTTCTGTACGCAACGAAAAATGTAAAAAATCGCCTTTATAATTATAATTTTAATCATTGTTTTTATTTTCAAGACATTCTATTTTGAACATGCTTAATTACAACAACTTGCCATTTTCAGAACGACTATGGATATTTTTCGCTGTACTTGCAAATAGTGACCATAATAGAAATAACATCGCACTTGAGTCAGTTGCTCATCGTCTATACAGAGATAATTAGTTTTCCACAGTTTTCCAGTATTAAACTACCAATTATTGGCGTAGCGACAAGTGAGGATAATTTATCTATTAATAACAAGCGAGATGTTTTTTTTTTTTTATGTTTTCCAATCGGTGATAAATCCTAAATCTTAAATAATTAAAATACTACGTTATCCATTTAATTGGCGTTTTATCAATAACCATTAACGTGTTTCATAATATTTTTCATTATTTATTTTTTCTCTGCAATGAAAAAAAAATTAAAATTGATGGACTCTGAAACAATTTTGTAGATTTTAAATTTTTATATTATATTATTTCCTACATTTATAAAAACATATTAATACTTAAGAAATAAATATATTTTTATAAAATATGATTAAAACATAAGCATATATATAATATATATATATATATATATTATATACCGATAATAAGTTACAGAAGGAACAAATGATTTGTAATTAGGCAATTTTAATTTCAAATTTCTCTCAGTCGAAATTGTACAACAAACAATCATAATTTAAATTTTCAAATAAAATTGGATCTTTTGGTTTTATATAACATGTTCATACAAAATTTTTTTATAATCATTATTTTATTTGTCAACATAGATACGAATTAATCTTCTAGGTTCTTTTCTTCAGATACATTTATTTTTTGACTAATATACTTATGACATTTTTTTAATATTTTCAGCTGCACCCGTGTTATTTGTTCTCAGTATTATGTTAAGTCTGAATATTATTGGTGCAAAACCTATTCGGCCATGGTGGTCATGGGAGAACTCTGCATTTATCTACATTTATTTCATAATCTTTATACTTCTCATGATTATGTATTTATCAGTATTAACAATCACCATCCCCAAATTGAAATTTATAAAGCAAAAACTTCAACGAAACACACCAACCAGCATGAAAAAAAGGTAAGACCTTCTAATCTACTGCTTTGTTACGCATTTTTCAGTAATTTTATTCATCAAGTTTACCTTTTCCACATAACGCATTTACTTTCACTTAACGACTTAAGTGATGATTTTCACAAGTCAGATTTAATTAGAATGGTACGCATTATTGTAACCATTTATTTTAACAAACTTATAAATACTGATGAGTCATTTCAAAACTATTTGTGTCTGATAATTTATATAATGGATTAAATGAATGTTGTGAATTTCATCAAAAATTAGAAGGCAAAAATAGGTATTATTGTGTTAATAATAATAAATAAGTAAATTATTTATCTTTTTACACGAAATATAAATTATATATAATATATATTTATGCATAGCTAAAAGTATACACGCATAGTTTTTATTTATAAGATTATATTCTAATAAATACAATATACACATTTTTGTGTATAATAAGTAACATTCTAAATATGACCATACAGAAATTTAATACAATAAAATTGTTTGAAAAATATATTATCAAAGCGACTGTTTAGGTTTATTAAGTTTTTATCCCATATCGTTTTAATTTTATATTTTAACCATATTTTTGTAAACATTAAAATAATAATTATTAATTTAACTAATTTTATATTTTAACGAATTTATTGAAGTAATACACATAAAAGTGTTTTAAAAAATTATTCTACAATAATTTTTCATCTTCTAGTAAATCGTGAGTGATATTCCAAAATAAATACTACAATGCATTCAATACAAAATATATAAAAACAATTCCAATTACGAGTATATAATTAAATTTTTTTCAACAGAGTTGTATAAACCCGAATAGTTATTCTATTGCATTAGTTAAATATTAAAAAAAAAAAAAAAATTAGAATAACTATATATTGTCTATTATCCACACGATTATTAAAATTAAACTGCTAGTAGTTAAGTATCGATGTAGTGGAAGAAGTATATTTACATATTTTATTGCAATTACAAATCAATGAATTTAAAAATTTTTATTTTTTATAATTTTGATTATTTATGAAGATTGACTAATAAAAGTGGAATAAAAAAAAAAATTAAGAATCTATTTATTTATATACTAACAAACAACTTCAAAATAATTTAGTATTATTATTGGTTTTATAATATTTTCAATTTCGTTCATATTCAAAATAAATACATAATTTTGTTATGACAAAAAGAAAGTTGTTAATCAACTGGAAGTTAAGAACCTATTTTGAGATTTGTATGAAAAAATTGTAAAATCCTTAAAACTTTTTATTAGTTTACAGCAGAGCTTGCAAACATTATAATAACATTAAGTTTACATTTGACAAAAAAGATTAAAATTTGTGAACGTAATTATAACGAAAAACGATAAACATAAATAATTAAATATCACAAAACACAATATATCATCAAACAAAACATAATGAACGTTATGTATAATATATCATTAAAAGAAACAATTAATTTCTAAATATTTAATAGTTATAAATTATAAAACAAATTAAAAATTGTAATTTTGAATAACGATAAACTCTACATTTTGTATAATGTTTTCATTGTAAATAACATAAAACAATTTTTTTTCAAATGCAAGCCCTGATTTACAGTACAACAAAACAATTTTGATACATTTTAAGAAAATATAAGTTTAAATAAAACGTAAAAAACAAAATGTAAGAATTATTAAGTATCATCATAAAAATGTCATATAACAATACAATTGAAAATACCTACTTTAAAAATGTAATTAATATAATACAGGGATGACCAACATGATATGTACTCGATCCCTATAGATAACAATTATAATACCAAGTGCCAAAATATTTATATATACATTTTATATTTTTTTTTTTTTTTTAAGTTTTTATAAATATATACAAAACATTAAAATTCATGATAATGTACATTTTGATTTTATAAATAAGACGCGAGTCGTATCTGACTATAGCGAGAGCCGCAAGTTGGCTACCCCTGGTAATTACTAATGTTGAATATTTGCTCATAGAAAAATTAAATAAATATTTTAAATAATAATATATTTGTCTGGTATTTAATAATTATATGTATTATTAAATTGTATAATGTATTTAATTATAATTGTGAATGATCTTTAACTATAATAAATTATAGTTAGTCATCAAAAAAAAAAAAAAAAAAATGACTTTTCATATCCAACTTATGTAATTTCAAGTACTAGCAATAATGTATTAATAATTTAAAGTTAAAATACCTTGATTCAGTTACTTTATATAAAATATATCAGAAAATAATTTCATAAAATTTAAATTAATATTTTTCAATTAATGTTGATTCATAACATGAGTTTAAAAAAAAACTATTTTACTTAGACAATATGTGTGGAGGAAACTGTTTGATGTTTCAATGTTAGTTAAACGGACGCGCTTTCCCTTCATAGATTCTTCGTAAAAATTTTAAACAAAACTTTATGAATGTAACATGAGACACACGCTGCATAATATCACCATTTTATAACTCAAAGAAGAAAGTTTTTAATACATTCTTCTGTAGCCTTTCAAAACGCATTTAATTACATTTAGAATATATAAACTGCAAAATCCTTTATTTTTACCAAATATATTTTACTTTGAAGCACGTTTATTTAACAATATATTTTTATTTAATATGTTTACACTTAGAATGGGACTTATAATCAGATCAATAGCTATTCTGTTAACCGTCATAGTAACAATTGTTTCCAGTATCCTGCACATAATCTACATGGGAGATTTCACTAAATATTTTTTCAGTTCATCATGTGGCATACAAGTAAGTGAACTCCGCGTAAGAACTTGATCTTTCATTATAAATCTGCATACATCCAATGTACATAACGTTGTCTGCTCGTCTTGGATTATAGAATATTTATATTTACGAATTAATTTTTTTTTTTTTTTTTTTTTAACCAAAAGATTAAGCATTAAAAATAAATATTTTTTTTTACTTTATTATATATTTATTTTATAACCAATTCTAACTATTCTTGTGTACCTAATTTAGGGTTTCGTTGTATTATATTGCTATGTTTTGCACTCGGAAGATCCTTTTGACTTGAAAACTGTTTACCGATCGAAATCATCACCACCACAATCATTCGATGATAACCATTCGGATTCTGCTGGTAGTCCATTAAATCGTGAGTACAAATTTTGATTACCAACACAGATTGGAAAGAAAAATAAACTTAATTTAAAAAATTAATAGTAAGATTTATTTAACGGCACATGGTTAAAACTCTGTTGATAGTTAAGTTTGATTCATGATGTGAAAACATACAAGGAATTTGAATAAAATATACTTCACAAATTTTTTTTTTTTTTTTTTAATGATAAGGATCGTTAATGCTTATAATAAATCTTTTTACATTTAATATTCAACGATTTAAATAAAATATTTTTGAGTAAAATAAATCGGAAAACGTTTGATGTAAATATTATAACTTTCTTTAAAATCACCTTGTTGCGTATATTGTGATCAATTCAAATATATTATTGTTGAACTTCACATAAACAATAGGTTTATATAAATGTATATTATAATTTAATATAACATAAACAGTGATGTGAACAGAACAAGTAACGGTGATGAATATTGAATAAACTTTATTTAAATTTTAAATAATAGATCTGTAGTTTATAACATGGTAAAAAGAAAATGTCCACATTTAAATGAACAGCTCATAATAATATTATTTTTTATATTAATAATACTAATAATATTGAATTATTTCGTATAATAAAATTTTTTAAATTTCAGATTTTTCTAAAAACACTGTAGATTACGAGATAAAACAATCAATAAAAAGTGATATCCTGGAAATAACAGATAACCCGCAAGAGTATTTCATCACACAAGAAAAACCAGTATCGATTGTCAGCAACCTTACTAGCTCATTGAAAAAACTTGATAATAATACCGAGCCAAAAAAATCTGTGACATTTCGCCATGACTTAATTACAGGTAAAATATAATTACTTTATGTGTCCCGAATACGATTAAAAACGTGAATACGTATTGAAGTAATTTACATTTTACATTTTATATTATTTTAGTAAAAAAAAAAAATCAAACGTAAATAGTAAGCCATATTTTATTTTTTCATGAAAATAAATATACAATACAATAAGCATAAATGAGTAAAATTACATACAGCTTATAGACATGAGGGAAAAGCCATCCATTAATGTTAATTTGATGTGAATTTATAGATATTGCGATTTATATTAATTATTATTCTCGGTCTTCATATTATGTAGGCGAGTAATTATCTATATAATTATAAAGACTTTTGATGTTCTAAAAAGGATCAATAATGATTTAGAAGTTAAACCTAATTCAACCAAAGAAATTTAAATTCTGGATGTTTTAAACCAACAAGAATATTGTAGGTATTATTTCATGGATTAACATAAAATATTTGCGATTTAACACACCTAAAACCCAATTTTTGCTATAACTGCTTGGATTTCAGTGGTGTCTGCTATTGGGTGTAGTTTCTAATTACTATTCAGTAGGGTTTTTTCTTTTACATTTGATATGTGAAAAATAAAATTAGGCATGTCAAATGTTTAAATAGAGAATAATTAATCTGTAGGATTTTACAAAAATCTACTAGAGTAAAGTATTTTGGATTTTTTTGTTTGAATTTTAAGAGTTTTATGGTTGACTTCAATGAAAAGGTTTTATATCCCACAAGAACTATAACTTACAAAATCTTTTTCATTTTTAACTTTTATAGCAGAGATAAATAAGTGATCTTTTATTGGGAGTTATTAAGTTATATTTAACTAAACTGAAAGATACTTGATATATTTCTTTTTACAATCTGTTATAACCAGCTATCTTTATTGTGACCATTCATAGTTCTTAGAGATATTTATATTATTTTTTGAAGGGAGGTTTAAACCAGAAGTATTAATTGTAGGTTTATTAAAGCAAGCATTGTATTTAATAGTGGTGTCAATTATTTTTATTATTTGATTTTGGTTTCTTATTTCATTTTTAAGACAGTGACATATTGTTCAAATCTCGGACAAAGCTTACAGGTCACTATATGGCATTCATAAAAACTCAACGACTGTAAACTAATAGCATTTATTAATATTATTCATAAAATAAATCAATATTTACGTTTTACAAAAAGAAAATAAAATAAAACAAAACGTGTTTATGAGTTTAAAATTGTGTAATAGTAATAGATTTGGTGTTTTAATTTTTCTTAACAAATTAAATTAATATAATATACAGTTAACAAAAACTTTTTGAATTATATGGGTTGACAGAAAAGCACATACTCTGTGTATGACTGATCGCGTAGTTCTAACTCCTGGTGGTTAAAATCAAAATTTTCTGTTATGTATAAAATCGTACTAAAGATTATCTTCTTAAACTGTGTAAAAAAAAAATTCGTTAATTCTCCAAAAATTGAATTATCGTTCGGATTATCCCGGTACGTGAATTTAATCTAGTTAATTTTCTTCATTTAATCTCTTTACATTAAAGGTATTATTATGTTAGAATCCGGGATCATAATTTTAGTAGAAAAATAACTACAATAAATTAAAAGAAATATTTAATTTTATGTAAAAATATATTATTATGTTTATTCTAGGGTCTTATTGTTTTTAATGTAGTTTTTTTTTTTTTTTTTTAATGAATATTATTTATTTAAAAAAAAAAAAATGAATAATACAATTGATATAGTTTCTATAAATAATATAATCTTATTTTTATGTTATATATTATTTTTTAGTAAAACAATACTAGATTTATAATTATTTATATTCTATTTATTATTTTATAAAATAGTATTAAACAACATAATAGTATATTTCTGTAATTGTTTGTTAATCGTTCATAACTTATCTAATTAATACATTTTAAAAGAAATTTCGAGCAATTAAAATTAGTAAGATTTTTTAAATATTTTTTTTAATTAATGTTATAAATCAAATGAGAATAACAAATATATACTCCAACAAGGCATCATTTAATTATTATTATTTTTAATTTTAATACTATTCAACTACAGATTGATGGTACTATAAAATAATATACAAAATATACCACCACTCAAATTTATAATTATTTGATAAATGTGCCACATAATATCATCCTTAACATTTTTCATAGTAATATATTCAATACAAACTTTGATTTTTTTTAATTATTCATATCATTCTATTCAAATAGTATGGTACATAATAAAATAATGTGAATATAGTTTAAAAATATTATACGATTTCTAATAAGATATATATTTAAATTACTATTTAAATCAATAGTGTACTTATAAATAAAGTAAAATTAACTATTATTGTAAGCTGAACTATTGTAGTGTTAATATAACAAAAAAAGAAAGTTTTCCTAAGCTCTTAAGCTTAATTTGTTTTATTACGACTTGCAATCATTTTTGATGTTATAATTATACTTGTATATAGTATACTTATATAATATAATAAATATACATAATAAAATAACAAAAACTTTATTTCATCTTATAATACTTAATACATGAAACATATCTAGTGAATGAAAATATCTTAACGATAAAGACAAATACTTATATCTGAAGCCATTATTTTCTTATGCACATTCAATTTGATCTAATAACTTATCGTATTAAATTTATATTCTTAAAAATTTTAAACTTATTTAGGTATTTAATATAGATAGAATATTAAAATATTTTATATTATACTATATTATGATTACGTAATCTTTGAGAAATATCACATATCATTTTTTTTTTTTTTTGTACAAAACGTAGTAACTTTGTTGTATAATATAATAAATACAAGTTATATAATCTAACTTATCATAAATATATATATATTTATGTTTATAACTTTGAAAGATAACAGAATATTGATAGTCATTGTGCTACTAAATTATATTGATGCTTAAAGTTATGATAGAACTATTCCGTTAATGTACTGATTCGTTGGTATTATATATTATGTCTTCAATTAAGTTTTTAAATAATATAATTTAAACACATCTTTGTACAATTTGCTACCGTTTAAAACATTTTCTTCATAATGTTTATGCCTTGTAATATATTTATAAATTATTCTATTATTTATTTATTTTTTTTTTTTTTTTTTGTTAGTCAGTGTTTTTCTTATTAAAAGTGTTTGGTGCTTAAGTAACTATTTTTTATATGTTATCCCTTACAGTTTAAATTACGGAATATTTAATTTGATTTTAAATGATTATATTTAATTTTCATATGAAAATTATGTCAATCCAAAAATTTGTAAATAACATCTTTAACTATAAAAAAAAAAAAAAAATTATTTCTTTAACTATAAAAAAAAAAAAAAATTATTTCTTTAAACTAAATTTCTGTTTTCTCTGTTTTTGAGTAGATATTTTCTAGTGACTACTACGTCTCAGATTATTTAAACGATGTGTCTTGTTCTAAGTTTTCTCTTCATTTAATTTACAACTGTTTGTAAGTAGTTTTCTAGGACAATGAAAATAATTAGATCATCAGAAAATTAGAGCATTGTAATAAAGGTTCTTGCTTTTATGCCGATTACATTTTGATCTAAATAAAATTTAATATTATTTATTGCTTACTAAGTGTGTAAGTTAAATAATAGGTACATGTAAGTCTAACTCTGTTTCACATATTTTTAGACTATTAGGATCAATTTTTTTAATCTTCATATGGTCTTGTATAATAATTTCTTATTGATACGTATTTATTTTTCATTACTCCCAAGTAGGAACTATTCTTAATTATTTGGAGTTCAACTTAGCCAGAGTACATTAATGCTTATAGGTACAACTAAAAATCCTTTAAAACGTTTTTATAATCAATATAAATATTACTAAAATATTATTTCAAAACATTTTTCATATATTTTACAACTTTTAGAAACCGATTTATTGTGGTCTCAGATATCAGATTTAAGTCATTTCATGTCTATTTTCTTGCAATATTCTGATTTACTTATTATAATACGCTTATATAAAGGTACATAACCGATATATGTATTACTATTATATTGACATACATTTGACGATTTACCTATATACATTATACATTTATAAAAAACTGCATCGATCATGTTTTCTGTTTTACAATGTAGGGTGTCACGAAAAATCATCCGATGACCACGACACTGACAGTGGTTGTGGTGATTACTGTGGCAATGGAGACAAGAGTTGTTGTTCATACCAAAACAACAATCGGTCACCATTATTGGATACGACGGTTGCTGATCCTGCAGACGTAGTGGACGACTGGCAGCCGGTGGAATTCTTAGATGCCTCACAGCCGACTTCGATGCCACCACTACCGGCCGGAAGCGACACTTCTATCCGGTGCGTGGTGCAACCACCACCTGACATGTTGGCCACGCACGTGTGCGTTGAAGTCGGCCTGGTCAAACAGCATACCACTATTGCGGATGACTCCCCGACGATCGTCGTCTGTAGTGTGGACGTGGAACCATGCCGGCAGCCCCATATGCTATTTATGTCTGGAATGACTGATAAATCGTCTTCAACTGCACCTGAACGGTCTGATGGCTCTGCTGGTGATAGTAACGATGATGACGTTCTAGACCGAATATCACAAGACTTGGACTATCTGCTAAACCGCAAAAACGTTATGAACTCGAATTTAGTTGATTCAGATGGCGATGGTGATGCTAATTGCAACCATAAAAATAAAATCAAAGACCTGACCTAATTCTAAGACATAATATTCTATTCAAAGGCTTTGAAGAAACTCTAAACGCCAATACAAACTATGTATATTCGATCACACCCCAGTACCCACCGAATCACACTCGCCGAACGGTGAACACGTTTTTGGTTACCGTTTTCCTCGAATTTATATTAATTTACATATGATTATTATTTATACGTTAAATAATAACTATTTACATTTTTTTTTCTTTTTTATATTACAAATTATATATTTATTTAAATAATATTTGTACACGATATTATATCATCGTTACATTATTAATACGTTCGTTATCGAAAACATTATTACTATTATTATTATGATTATTATTGTAATTTTGATTATCATAAGATTGTAATTTTTAAGTGTTTTGTGTACATGTAAAAATATTATCATTATTATTTTTACTATTTTTTTTTTTTTTTTTTAAGGATTGTCGTAATACCATACACGATGATTTTCGATTTTTAAAACAAATTGTTATAAAATTAATTTGTCATTCATACTTCATAATATACCATTTATAAGCTGCAGTAAAATATACATAAATGATTCATATAATATTATTGTGATATATATATATTACTATTATTACTATTTTTATTATCATGAAACAACGGGTTATAGATAATAGATCATAATAGTTTGTCGATTTTTCGTCTTTTTTTAACAAACACCTATAATAATAACGACAATAATAATATTTATTTTAGCAAATAATATTTGAAATTTTTATTTTTATTTTAAATAGGTAGTGTATTACAATGTAATCTAAACAGTGTTTGATATTTAATACATACATTTTTAATAAATAATTTCAAATTAAACCATAACTAATTGTAATATATATATATATATATTATATATATATATATTATATATATATATATTATCATACTTCAACCGTTATTACTTAAATATACCACCATTTTATTATCCCATAACATAACCAAAAATGCAGTACTTATAAAATGGACAACACTAATGTGGAGTATCAAAAGTTATAGTAGATGAACTCAATTTTCAATTATTTTTTTAAGAAGACAATACATTTTTAAATCATATGTGTTTGTAATGCGTATAAATATAAAAATAATAATAATGCCATATTTTAACACATTAAACTGTATTTAATAAATAAACAAAAATATTTATTTGTGTATTTTTAAAAAAAACAAGGGGCATATGTTTATGTATTCGATATACAGTTTCAATATCTAAAAGTCAGAAAAAATGTGTTCAGTCAATAATATTTTGTAACAACTTTTAAAAAAAGACGATTCTACGATTACTATTATAATATATAATTTATTAAAACCCAAGATGCTGACAAATATGAATAACACTAAAATATTTTGGAGTCTAAAATAAATATATTATAATTTTTAAAACAATTCAAGTAATAAATTTTAATGGTAACCAAAAACACAGTATTTAAAATGTGTTAAAATAAAATAAACAAATGTTTGGTAACTGACCGAATAATACTCAATATAATAATAATAGGCTAGCCAATGTAACCATTTGCTTTATATTATAAACATTAATTATACATTATATATATATTATTGAATACATTTTATAAAATCAACCAACACAAAAAAAAAAACAGACCCAAAACTTGAAAACTCCGTCCAAATTACTATTTTTACCAAAATAACACGATCACATCACATAATTGCTGAAGAAACCTTAGAGTTTTGGATCTTTATATGTAGAAAGTTATTAATAATATAAGAATTGATTTATATTTCTTTATATTTAATATTTCTAGGTGTCCCTAATGAGGAATTTCCTACCTTGTTATCATTAGTTCATAGTTTTTCTTTCTCTCACTATAATTATTACTTATTGTACACCCCTGTATAGATTGTAATATTCAAAATAAAGTCATTTTATTTAATAAAAAAAAAAAAAAATTTAATATTTATATTTTTACATTTAAATAAAAAATATAGTTTTGTGCCATTTAAAGCCGTGAGTTTTATTTCTAAAAATAAATTTTTTCATATGTAAATTTAATTTTACTCAAGAATGTTGTGTAGTCAATTTACATAATAAAATGTATATTTTTAACTAAAGTAAGCTTGTACTTAAAAAGCTTATATAATTGTTATAAATAATAATATTTATTCAAATGAATTTTACCAATGAAAACTGATATTAGTCTCTATAATAATAATACTTGTTTCAATGTAGTCGGAAAATCATTAATAATACATACTAATTGGAACAATAAGAATAAAACATAAATACATAATTTTTGATTCATTTTGCTCACCAATATTAATAGAAATAGATGTATTTATTATAAGGTTAAAAAGGTAGACGAATAGATACCACTCAGCTGTCATTAGTAAAATTGTAGAATGCATCACTATTATAAGTTTATTGAATTTGAATTAAAATAATTCAATTGTGTATCTAATATACGAAAAACGGTTATGAATAGAAATAGTCTATCGGTTTATATGACTAAGTGATAATGTTTTTTTGACACAGCTATTAAAGCAATTTATTTTACTTTTAATGTTTTAGTAGGTTGATATAATTTTTTCCAAAATGATTGAATTTATTAATTATAACTATATAACTATTAAAAAATGTATTTATAATACATTATATTAAATTAAATAACTCAAAATGTAATTAAATATTTTTGTAAACAATGTAAACCAATAAAAATAAATTCAGAGTATAAATAAATTATATCTTAAAATAAATCAAAATTTTTTTCGCATATATTACAATTTATGATTTTATAATAAAGATAAAAGTGTTTAAGTTTTCACGATTAATCGCAAAATAATAAATAACATTGTTAAAATACATTTTTTTCAAATTAATATAAAACAAAATTTTGCTTGTGTTGAAATAACAACTTTATACAGATATAATAAAATCTTATATGTATCTGTATTATTGTTTTAAGAAATTGACCCATCCACGTTTTTTCAACATTAAAAAAAAAAAAAAACTAAAAAAAATTGTAATTTGTCATGCAAGTTAAAATATTTGAAAAATTATATCATGTATAGAAAATAATAATATAAATACTTAATAAAAATATCAAGTATCAAACGTTAGAGTTATAATAATAATAATAAATCAATTTTATTAAAAATTATAGTTAAAAAAACTACAATAAATTTAATTAAATATTCGGTTTTATGTAAAAATAAACGTTATGTCAATTTTTGGGTATTGTTTTAAATGTAGACATTTTTTTTTAAAAATTAAGAATATCCTTTATTATTTTTATTTTTGTTCTACCTGTTTAATACAAAAATATTGTTTTTTTTAAAATTAAATACCCTAACCTTCCAAAGTACCAACTGGATCCAATTTTTTCCTAGAAACTACCTCCAAAGTTAAAAATAGGAGAATTCTTACTACTCCAAAAAATGAAGACAGACAAAAAAATAACCATCGTTATAAAACTATGGCATAATTCATCACTTCGCTCATTTTACATATTTACCTTTACGATTTCCATACATACATGGGCGTTCCCAGGGAGGGGGTAATACAGGGCACTGTCCCCTCTTGAATCTTAAATATTTTACCTAAAAGTAATAATGACGAATTATAATAATCTACTTTAAGCAAAATGTATAAAAAATGTTGCCCCCCCCCCTCCTAGAAAAATATCTGGGGACGCCCATACAAACATATAACCCCTCCCTTCTCAATAACAGACAAAATTTTTATAACGGAGAATTTTCACTACCCCGAGGTTTCACTATAATTTTTAAATTTAAAAGGAACTTTAAATAACCTAATAGATAATTTAAAGTTAATTCAATTAGACATTTTTTTGAATTATAAATTGAATTCTTTCTATAAGTTTATTTATTAAACAATTTGAAAAAGAGCCACAGGTACCAGTGTACAACGATTACAGTCGACTTGCATTAAGAATCTGAGTTAATACTTCGAACTTTCTTCGTAAATCTTAAATATTTTGTAATTAATAGGTAAAGAAGGCGAAACACTTCAGTCCGTAACCACACCCATTGTGGTATTCTTTCAGCATTATTATAGGAGGGGCGAATCATTATTTCACGAACTTTTGTGCGTTTTGATGAATGAAATTATGTACATAATTGGTATTTCTATCTTAAAAATTAGGCGTGCTCGAGCTATTTATTTATATTTATTAGAGCTTAACAATGACATCATTAGCCAGGAAATAACGATTTACATTTCATATTTTAAATAATAAAATTAAAAATAAAATTTTTCATGTATGTAAAATTATATGTTATAATAATACGTACGTACATTCATCATAGTAATCATATACCTATATGACAAATGTGCTTTGTAAATAATAATAGTTATAACATATAATTGCACACTTATGTGAAAAATTTTAATTCGATTAAACAAATTAGTTTCTTTTAAGAAAATACATAAGTATAATATAGTTTTTTATTGATACATTATTTTAAAGATCTGTTAGTTGTGGAAAGATTTTTCTCTCTTTCGCTAAATATGGGCATTAAAAAAGATGTTTTATAGATAATAAAGAAGTATTGCAGATTTCGCACAAAGATTTTGGTTCTTTTTTCATTAAGTAAACGTGGGTAATGTATGTGTCGCAAATTTTTAAACGAGACTCTATTATTTGTTCTCATGTTATACAGGAAAGAGAATACGGGTTCGGAGTTAAAAATTATTTATTTGGTGAAATTTATTATTGAATTTTTAATCCCATAGAAGTTTATATGATTTTTCGCACCTTTCCTAGACACATCTGATTGTGTTTTAAAGAGATAATAGTTCTATTTTGTGTGTACTATTATTGGTAAAAGCTTCTTTAGCTACTTCATCGGATTTTTTATTTCCAGTTAAGTTTTTGTGAACGGGTATCAAAAAGGAAGTTATCAACCGTGAGGATAAGGAAAAAGCTCCTTTTTGGATATTATTTCGCTAGTTAACTGGTGGTTTTTTATAGTTAAGATAGAGTTAAGGGAATCTCTGGCTATTCAAAATAACTCTGTGTTTTTCCAATTACGTTCAATTAATTAAATTGCGGTTAGAATAGCAAGAGCTTCGATGGCGAATGTAGAATTATATTCTGAAGAAAATTTGAATATTCCTTCATCTAATATTAAAGCTTATCCTGATTTATTGTTGAATTTTTATCCATCAGTATGAACAATTTTATGGTCAATAAAATCATTCCGTATAATGTCGATGAATTT